AATGGATTCACCAGAAATATAAAATATCGCGACAATATAGCTGACTATGAGTGAATATGGTCAAAATTTAGCTGATGAAAGCCAATTTCTTACGTCTACAAGCAATGTGCACTGTTTGTATTTTAGTTTAGACAGGGAAAGTAGAATTGTACGTATAAGTAAACTTGACGCAGTAAATTATACATATATACACTCGTGTTTGCACCGCAGTGAAAACCCGTACAATATGCAGATTTTGTAACAAATTGTGGCATAAAACCAGATACACTGCGGGGGTATATATAAAATGTATTACAAAGTATAATCCATTGAAGCAACTTAATGAAATAACTTAGTCATTGCCACATTTGCTATAGTATAAGGCAGTGCCTGGAACGAAATACAAGTCAGAAAAATTCCTAAACGTGCCGCAACACTTTGTACAAATTAACCCGCGCGCACGAAGTGCAGAAAAACATCAGATACAAATCTTAATCTCAAATTTCAGTCTCTTTGGCAAAACAATATTGAAGTCATGAATATAGCAAATGTGCTGTTTCTATACGCAATACAGTATAATTTTACCACATTTATACAGTGTAATAGGTTTATTTATTGAAAAATAGTTATATAATATCAAGAGCTGTTCTCTACAAATCCTACAAAGTCTTCATCAACAGCAGGCATTATTTTCTCATATGCGCAAAAATGTCTATTTCCTAGTTGTCCATAAACCATCCACACATAGTTTCTATATGCTATGCTCCTTCAGAATCTATATAAATTAATAAATAAGTATTTTTAATAAGTCGCTTACTTGCTAAATATATAATAATTCAATAATTGTACAGTATGTTTCGCATATAAACTCTCAGTTACCATACCGCATGCGTGTATTCACTGATAGTAAACTCGGGTACGGTAAAGTGTTTCTTAATTTCAATATGTTGATAAATAAAACTTTATTTACCTATCTTCTGTGCTTGTTTGACGGTATTCCTGTTTCTTTCTTGCTCGTAATTTCGTGGCTGCTGAACGGAGAGCTCACGTATCTAGCCATAGCTGTTGAATTATACATGATGGCGCGACTTCAGCTTCTTGCATCACAATGTCATTGTGTAGAGAATCGACGCACTCCTCAATTTCCATACAACATTGACACTCTTTAGCATAATTTACGAAGCAGTTCAATGCGACAATTGCCACGTTTACACATGAAATATTATAGTTTGTAATTTACAACACAAGGTCAAGTCACGCAACAAAATCAGAGTGAAATATTTACCATTTACTCAATTCTTCTGAACTATCTAGCCTTTGTTGTAATTGCTTAAGACGTTCGTTGTGATTGCTTTTTTTCGCGGTAACGTTTGAGCCATCTTCGTCGATCACTGCATGGTTCATTAACATATGGATCAAGCAGCGCCGATCATTTGTGCGCACGACGTTGACCACGCTTCACTGGTGTTTTCATCGATTTCACTCGATTTGATACGGCCCAGGAATATAATTTCAGGCAGACATCGCTTTGATAACTGTTATTTTCCGTATCTGAACTCCACGAAGACATTTGTATCGAATTTTGACCAGCTTGATTGTGATTCTCACTTAGTATTTATATACTTTTCACTTAGGCGAGAAGGCAATGTCTTCCTACTATGACGTATTAGTTACCAATTTCCCAGCTTCGCGGTTTTCAAAAACTTTTGCCGTTAAAATTTGAAATTTTCAAATTTCATTGCCTTATTACTCGGTGAAAACAAGCTCAATTTTAAATCTGTTTTGTATTTTCATAATCTACGTTTCAAGACGATTCTAATGATGTAAACTCTCATTTTGTGACAGGGGCACTTTAATACTGGGTCCTGTTTCAACAACAAACTTTTAAAGAACTTTTATCTAATTTTAATGTAGTATAATACAATTGTATATTTAATAAAGTTCCTTTTATTTTTAATATCCAATACTATCATTCTCAACAATTATAAAACCAAGTATATTAAAGGCAATATAAGACATTGTCTCACCTTGCGTGTATATAAAATCACCCTCGCATTTTTAATAGCATTATTATATGTCCTCCTACCTTTCGAGTTTCGACCGCAGTTTGTACCGTCAGATAAACGCTAATCCCAATTTCATATCTCATTCAGTCGAGAAAATGTGCATTCTTTTAGCCTCGACATGAAATGCATGTCCTTGTGCAAACATGCCTTTGACAATTGACGAGACGGCTCCGTTCTGGCTCGCTTCAATTTATCCAAATCTATCCAATGTTTCCTTCTCCTTAATGACTGCAGCCGAAAATCTCCATAATATGGTATTGGATGTAGAGCTATTTGATTTGCAGCATCTGTTGTGTTGTAACAACCGTATACAACATATCTAACAGGCATTTCGAAGCGCAAAGTATACAAATTTTCATTGCACACAATAGATATTTATTGCAATACAACATGAGTCGATTCACTTCCGTCCCCGGTGTGACATCACAAACCTGATTCGTACTCAGCCTCTTTTCTCCCGGCCATGTCTTGAAAAACCCTATTTTTTTGCCTGTTTGATCTAAATTATCTCTGGAAGTATTTATCCGATCAAGGAATGATATATATATCATTCGAATTGTCTAATTTTTTCTGATTTTTGGTGAAAAAATGGTATTAATGTCATATGCACTTTAAATTACTGTACTGTAGGTAGAAAGCCGAATTTTGGCCTTTTCACATGCGGCCCTGTTCTCCCTTTCATCCACCAGGATTTAAGTAAGCGAAGATATGGCCCTGATACTCAGGCTAGCATTAAGGAAACATTAGGGGTAGGATAGGATTCCAATAATATTAGCGCAAAGTTGTTTTCATTCTAATCGTATGGAAAGGAAGAGAGAGAACTAATGACTGGAACACAAAAGAAAGCCGTATGTTACGTTAAAATATGTTTCTTGCTGATACGTTTTTAGTGCAAAGTAAAAATAAGAATAACGAATGTTGGAAATCAATTCTTAATTGTCCACATACCCGTTGTTCTTGACCACAAGCAAAACACTTGATCTGCTTCGTGTCACGTGACTTAAGCTTTCTCCTGCCACACGTACTTTGGTTGTTATGGCAACGATGACATGGCCAAAACTTGTTGCAACATTCAAATTTCACGTAACAACGTCGTTTGTAATGACTGCATAACCATTGGCCGTCCTCATCCGCATCAGGTGGTTGGAATTTTGACAATTTGTGTCCATTGCTGCCACGCGAAGTACTAATTTGATCGCCACGTGCAGTTCGACTGCTGGCCTGAACTGTGGGAGACAAAATACACAGATAAATAAATACACTGCGGTGATCTAACAGTAAACATTAGATCAGTGATACACTTAAAATATATAAATAGGACATCGGGTTTATCTCAGGATTTCCTGAATCTAGGCCAACTGGCGAGGATCTAAACATCGCTTTAGATGAATACGAACAACACCGGTTTCCAATAACCACACACAGTGGCGTGTGTCCAGTGAAGGGCTCCCCCCAACCCTAGGGAGCCTCCGGCAATAATGAACACAACATTTTTGCTAATAATTGGGCAAATTGTCCTGGGCACTAAAATTTGCAACAGCTGGGCCCCAAAAGCAGAAATTGGTCAAATTGTGAAATTCGGACTCTGTTTTGTAGAATAGAAGGGGAAAAATTGTTTTTTGCTTTTCCCAGTTTGGGGGAAAATAGGCCCCTCCCCACTTAAAAATTTGACGGGGACCTCAGGAGGTTGCGTTACGCCACTGACCACACAGCGTTCATCACTGAACCCCAAAGTTTGAATACTTTAACAATTAGTTAATCTACCTTCACCGTGCTCGCTTCTTCCACCATCAGTGACTACCACACCTTGCGAAGTAGTGCTACTGTTACTTACAGTTTCCTTGCCACAACTAGATGAAGTCACAGGATGAGGTCTACGTGTATTCGAGCCAAGGCCATTTAGAGCAATAGATCTCTGGGTATGATATTGTGTAGAACTTGATATACCTCCAGTATTCTCTCCAATATCATTCGAGTTTACTTGTGATAATCCCTGAAATTTCCTTTGAAAGCCATGTGCATTATCCCGTGACTGATCTGCTGGACCACGTGACATCTCTGTGGAACGCCCTCTTGTTGTTGAACGTGATGGCCGTTGTGCTGATGGTGAGTGACCAAATCTCCGAGAAGTTAATCCAATCTTCGCGTTTGAACCTCGATTAAATGGTCCTAATCTTTCACTTGTCTTGGCAATCTTTAGCTGTGAGTATTCTCCAAGAAGATAACAATCAATAAGATGTACAAAATCATATCTTAAGTTATCCTCAAAGAATTTTTTCAGTCGAATAAGATCAGTAATACTGATGATTTTCTTACGATCTAGTTCGAGAAAAATTTCGTTCACACTTCGAGAAGTATCGATTTCAAATTCAGTGTCCACCCATTCTTTTAGTTTTATGACATCCTCCTTTAGGAGATTGTGAGATATTCGCAGTAACAAGAGTTTATAATTGTTATGGATATTTCCATCTACAGCAGTATGTGGCATATCAGTTAGACTTGCTGTTTCGTTAAGTGACTCTTGCCCATAATGACTTTCAACTTGATTATTTCTCAGCTCTGCCTGATCACTCGATACCCTTGCATCTAACGATGAATTCGACCATTCTGAAATCCCTGACGTCTGAGTGGAAGCTGAATGGAACTTGTACGTTTTATTAAAAAGCTCATCTCTTTTCTTTAAATTCTGTACTCTGGTTAATTCCACATTTAAACGGCCAAATTCTAAAAACATTTCCTCTATCTCAGCTTCTTTTTCAGAAATTATCACTGCCATCTTTTTGTTTTGATCAATTAACTTATTAATTTGTAGCCGCAAAACTGTGCTTTGACCTTCGAAGTCATAGGTTAGTTTCTCAATTGTTTTCTTCGTCTTTTCTTTTTCCATTTTCAAACGTTCAACTTCCGATCTTTGATTCTGTAAGCTTTGACTGGAGAGTGAATTGAAAGGAAGCCAATCATCTTCAAATTGAGTCTGCGACTTTTCACCAACGTTGCATGTTGAAATATAAGCTTGGTTAAGTTGCCGAAGTAGCAAATCAGAAGGTATGTTGTCGTAATAGTAATAATCAGTTGTAAATATATCGTTTCCTGGAAATTCAGGATATTCGTCAGGACTTTGTTCTCTGCTTGCTTCTTCAGTTTGACATTTCCCCCCTATGTTTCTCGACAGTTTTTCAGGTTCGTTAAGTACACACAAACAAAATTTTTTGATCATAAGCCCGATGGTTTTCGATACGGTTCCGACATGAGATAATTTTAAAGTGGAAAATCTGCAATGTTCATCGAACTTTGTGTGGTCTTGAGGGAAGATATGTAATAGTACTACCGCTGGTTGAGTGACTACAAAACTTAGGTGACCATTGTCGAGTTTTTGTACTTTAATATCCTGAGACCAGTTAGAGATTAGATGTCGGAGAAATGCTTTAAATCTTTCAAATTCTGCTGGCGACTCAAGACAAAGTGCTAATGTGAGAAAGTCAGAGTTGTTTATATCTTGTATACGGATATTCCATATGGTATGGTCATTTTCACACCGTTGGATAAAATTGGATAAATCCCACAATTTGAATACTTTCATAACATGGTAAAATGTAAACTGTGCTCTTCGTTCTTCTCTTACTTCTCTACCACTTTTTGGAAAACGATTGGTAATTGATTTGCCATAATTATAAAGGACGTCAAGGCATAGATTCGTTAATAATTTAACCATTTCGTTCATACCACGTCAAAAATGAAACTATAAAAAAACTGCATGTTAGACATTTGAAATGATGCAAATATCTTACAAAAAGTATATATTTTGGTACTACACTGATATTGTTCGTTGGCTTAGGGCCTGTTCTATGGGCAAAAGTTATCCCGGTTAACGAGAGAACTTTTCGACCAGCCAAATACTTTTGTTCTGTTCATATGGAGAAGTATTATCCCACTTACCGGGATCGGAAAAGTTTCCGGCTGTGACATAGCAATGAACATCAATTGAATTGAAAAGTTGCTGACACGACAAAAAGTTATCCCGCTAAGCGGGAAAGTTGTGTTCATATGGGGAAAACATTATCCCGGTCACCGAGATCTCGCCTGTCAACAAGCGAGATCTCGGTACACGGGAAAACTTTTCGTTTCATATGAACGCAATGTAACTTTTCATATTATTTTCGTAACAAGGCGAGATCTCGCTCGTAAACTTGTCGAAAAGTTTTCTCGCTAACCGGGATAACTTCTGCCCATATGAACAGGCCCTTAATTCCATGTGGAGCGGAATTTTCATTTCCCCTTAGTACTAGTGGAAAACATTAAAGGCGATTCGCATCAGTATCGACTCGCACTTGTGGATAAAAAATTCGGTATTATTGAAATTGTCCGAGACAATAATAGACTTAAACAATACAGAGTACACTGACACACGCAAATATTCTTTCCCTCGATAATTTCACTCCAATGAAACGCAAACGTAATCTGATACAAAACTGAATTTTATGTTGGACACTAAACGCGCTTCATCATTATACAAATAATGAATGTTTATGAGTGCAATGGTAAGAAAATTTTCATGAGGGGAAAGATGGAACGTTCGATTCAACGAGACGACAGCCTTGTTGAATGGAACATTCCATCTTTCATCGATGAAAATATTCTTACCATTGCACGAATAAAAACATTCGTTATTTGTTTTTATATAATACAAAAATAGACTAATATTAAAAGGTTTCCTGTAAGCTTCCGCCAGTTGATGAGTCGTATTTGCATTAAATCCCATTTACTGAGCTTTGAATATTGGTTAAAATAAACTGCGATCACCGTACGAGAAGCATTTTTACGGATTTATCGAAAACACAAAGAGTGCAATGGAATAAATTGTATAATATAATTGCACTCGCAAAGAGAGTAATGGAACGTATTCCATTGCACTTTCGGGAAATGGAATTTTCTATAAAGTATTATCATATATATTATATAAAATTGTCTACTAACTGTTAATATTTTTAGTCAGTGACACCAGTGAGGGGTCATGTTTATTACAGCTAAAAAAATCATTTGTTTAGAATGTTGCTGTAATTAACTACCGTGAACTTAGCACTGTGTTCAGCATAATATAATTTATAAAGTTTTCGTTCTTAAAGGTACTGTAACGTTTGAACTTTCTACACAAAAATTAAGTCTAACAGAGTACCTGTCCGGTTGCATTTTTGTGCAGAAATTGAAAAGTTCGGAGCAATAAGAGAGAAATATATGATTGTGAAAATTGAAATATTGCTTATTCACTCCAAACCTGCCCAACAGCCACATTTTTGAGATTAGTAGACGTGCGAAGCAGCCACAGACCTGCTAAAACAGCCACATTTTTAAAATTTTAATAAAATTGGGTGTCCATCAGCATTAATGCAAAGCTCACTTCCCTCGTGGTTGTTTGAGCACTTAGGCCCCATGTCACTCTGCGCATGTCTGGATGGGTTGATGGGCCGTGTTGTAACACATGCGCCATCATATATATATATATACAGAACAAGGCTGCGAAGATAATATTAGATAGACCTTTGTACTCATCGGCAACATTGACGCGCTGTCATCCCTGAAATGGCTCGATTTACATCGACGCAGGAATTTCCATCGCTGCATCCATATCTGGAAGTGTGTTAATGGTCTTACGGAGCATTCTCTAGACATTCTTAAATGTAGTCAGATTCACAGTCATAACTCTCGAAATAAGGACACAAGGCTACCTAAAGTTAAACGCAATTGGGGGAAACAGCGCACTAACTATCAAACAATCAAAGACTGGAACTGATGATTTAGACAGTGATACAAGGAATGCTCCAACACTAGTGTCTTTTAAGAGAAATCTTTTTTTATAAACTTTTAACCTAAAGCCTGCTTAGAACATCGTGACTTACCAGTACCGTAGCCAGAACGATAATTGGGGGGCACATATTCATATATTCGTGTTCACATACCATAAAAACAATTGATTTCAAAAGAAATTAATAAAGCAGAACACGAATATATGAATATGTGCCCCCTCAATTATCGTTCTGGCTACGGCACTGTCAGACTTACAGTTTTAGACTTTGGACTTTTAACTAGTTTTAGATTTTTATAATTGCATGATTATTTGTATATATAATGTTCCCTATGTGTAGGACCTTTGTGAAAATCACGTCATATGTGACAAAGCTTTCCTCATTAAAGATTATTATATACATGTATACGAAACAAAATACTTCACAGGACGAAATACAGACAGTATGAAGAACAAATAACACAAGAAGAGTTCTTATTCAAGGACAGCATACATCAGAGGATCAGGTTTACAGGTTGCGTATACAATTTTCGTAAAGTTAGAATTTCAAGGATAGTCCTTGCAAATATCTAATCAGTATTCAGTAAGGACGATGTTTTCCGCCGCAGAGTTGAAAACTCGACATGAGTTGAAAACTCGTCATATTTTTTATTTATACTGATGATTAAACAACGACATATTCGATCTCATATGTATTGGTAAAAAGACTTCGTGCGCTAATATTCCTCCGACCCTTGTGTAAATCGTACTTGGCTTTCTATTGGCCTTAATTTACACATTCGACCAGCGCATTCGAAAAATATAATACAAATATAATACAAACTTATATATTATAGGCTAGTTACACATTCGACATATATATATATATATATATATATATATATATATATATATATATATATATATATATATATATATATATATATATATATATATATTTCACTGACCGTGAAGACCTGCCCCGATTCCAATGACGTAGGCTACAAAGATTATGTAAGCAACAACATACTCGAATAACTCGATTCTATATCATATTGCAATAGTCTTGTGCATTTAAATGTGACATTCCTTCGATATAGATTAACGTGGTTTTCAGTTTTGCACTACTTGATATGGTAAAATACGTTCAATCGTCGCGCGCTATATTATTACTTATTATTTTTCTAATACGTATAGAATGTTTGATCAAACTGACATGTCGTGTTTAAATATAACATAAAACGATATAAAACAGACCCAACGCGCTAATAGTATCCCCAATGACCCTTGTACAAATCGTTATTAAATAAACAACGACATATTCGATCCTATAATAAAATACATACGTTGGAAATGACTTTCAACCAGATAAAACATATTAAATAAAGACTTTACTACTTACTAAGAATTTATACACATCTCTATACACTATGAACATATATCATGTGCGTTATGCACTTAGCTTGTGGTCTATAGACGATTCGTATTTCAAGCTAGGATAAAAGGACCCGCGCAGCAGGACACCGCGGACACGAAGAGGATTGTGCTTACGGTCTCTCGCATAGTGGGTAGCTGCGCATGCGCGTCTACTCACAAAAACTGGCATAGTTAAGAAAAAAATTAGGTTAAAATATACTTCAAACTTACCATAATCTTCGTCTAAAACTTTTCAGCGAAAGGTGACTCTTCTTAGTCTTCTAACTTTGAGTGACTTGCATGTTTTGAATGCCAGGCATATATATTCGGGTATAGAATGCCATATCCGCCTGTAAAGAATTTCAATACTGTATATTTTAACAATAATTGCTACGTTGCGGAAATTCCTTTCGGCAGGAATTCAAATTTTTTGCCGCCCTCTTCCTGAACAAAGAAATTAAAAACAAAATGCTTAAAGGACATTGGCAACCAAAATTTTTATTGGCTATTTCAATCCTACTTGACAACCTAACTATGAAAATATTAACATTTCCTTCTCGAACATTTTAGTCTACGAGTGAAATGCATGCAAACTTTGTGTTTCGCCGCCATTTTGGAAAAAATGACCTTCGAAGGTCAATGAACTTTGTGACATCATTAGATGGGTAACACCACAGGGTAGCACCAAAACTACAAGAGAAAATTCTATTCCGTGCGTGCTATGTTAGCTAAAAATATGTCGGTTTGAGCGTTATACTGGCCAATACTCTTCGCAATCAAGCAAGAGAAGTCTACACTATCAGATAAAAACATATCGAGCGACTGTGAAAGCAAGGAATGGCGCAATTTACAATACAGATAATTGATCATAAAATATTGCATTTAATAGTGTTTGCTTTTTTACACTCGAATTTCTGCGTTTATTTAACACGGATTAGGATATATACTATGAGAAATAGTGTTATATAAAATAAGGTACATACTTGGTAAAACGTTTCTGCCATTGGTTTTGGCTCAAAGTGCAGTACGCGTGGTAATACTCGATCGGTATTGTTATAGTCATGAAATTGCGTTTACCCAGCTAATGACGTCAGATAATATATGCTTATGCTTATAATGTAGACATAAATGTTTATTTTCAAAATGGCGGACAAACCTGACAAACCGGCTAAAATATAAAATTAAGTATTCCGTATAAGTATACATAATAGAGATAAGCAATAAAAAGTTTGGTTGCAATTGCTAATGTCCTTTAAACATTTTATTATAGAAAATACTTAAGCCTTCTCTAATGTTAGTACAGGAAACTTTAGCTTGGATCTTGGAGCTAGGAAACTGTAACTCTCAGGGGCGCAGCGTGACCTTTTTATATGGGGGAGGGGGTATAGCCAGGTGCTACAAGGTTTAGGTTGTATGTACTAGAAATACATGAATGCAACAACCCCTCGCCTATATTTTCCAAACATTCTTTCAACATGAAATATTCGTAATTACGCCAACACTGAACGCAGGCTCGCGTTGCTCACTTCATGTTAGCCATGCATGGCAACACGATAATAATTATTATTGTTTTTTTAATTTTTCGTACAAAACTGTAAAAAATAAATGAAACTTAAACACTTTTAAATACAGAACTATCAATTTTTTAAAATATATAAAGTAGGTATATTATTTTACTTTCTATGGGCAAAATTAATTATTTATTAATTATTAATCAAAATTCAACACGAAACTCCTCGTAGAACGTTTTTAAATGTCAATTGAAATTAACTGCTTTTTTGCCGATGAACTCTTCAACTCGAGCTTCAACTTGTTACTCGCACTTTGAAATGAAATAATTAAAATTTAATTCGTACAGGACTTTAATGAAAATAGTTTGCTTTTTTGGTGATCATGAAATTCTACAAAAGTTAATTTACCTAAGAAACTTTTGCATACAATGCATAGGAAAGACTTGAACAACAAAAACAAAACCATACATAAACAATTGAAACAAACTTGCCTTATACTTCAGGATTTCTCATACTAAATCAATTCTTAATGTTTACGTTTAAAAATTGAAAAAAAGTTTTACAATTTGTTATGTGAAACGATTTTCCATACTTTCTTATATGTGTTTCAGTATCTTTTCCTCCTTCACTCTTGGCAAACAGCCATATTTTGGGAGATTACCACCTATACACCATGCGCCCGCGATATTTGATGAACTTTAGATTTCGCTAGTGCGTTGCTTTCCCCGCGTGTAAATAGCTGGGCGGAATTAGTATCCTCGCCACCGGGCTTACGAGCCGTTGGCTCGGGGATAATAAATTGGTAGTACAGTATGTACTATTTGATCAGCAGAAATTATTAAAACCGCAGTGTTTTATCAAATATAAAGATACGAGACGTGGCGGAGTATCTTTAGGTCTCGGATGGAACCGACGCACTGCATGCGAATGTTTTAAATTGCTTCAAACACGATCGATCTAGTAAGTTCATTGGCCAGTAATTTTCAAAACACACGTTGTGTAAAGGTGGATTTCCAGTGCTCGCACGAAGCTCCTCGCAGCTCGCTGCGTGTGCATGCATGAGCACTTTCATCCCACACAATGCTAAACACTCTTTCTCGACAACCGGTTTCGTATTACATTTCGATGCAATTTTTCTAATATAAATATCTCGGCGAGTATTTACCCCCCCCCCCTATTAAATAAATGCCGCCTTTGAAATCCTCACAATATAACCTTTCGAACGGGGGGTCAAGTGCCGTCAAAACATTACACAAACCGAAACAATCATATATTTATACTCACCGCTTCGCCAAACATTCAAACGAGAAAATTTATTTAGAAAAAGTTGAATATATTCTAAACTTTGGTGTCATTTCCTGAAAGGATATATGTGTAAAATACTCTTTGTACTCAAGCGCTTTCGTGTAGAAAGTTTCGTTTGTATACGCCGAATAGAAATATTTATTTTGAATTTTTAAAGTATCGGGTTTTCCTCGCACGCGCTTGTATTACGTAATACTTGGCCAATAAGGAGCTCCCTTTAGGGTTATGGCTAAAGGGGATGGACGAGAAGTAGGTGACCGCGAGAGGACTGGGTCTAGTTGCGTGTTTATTTCGTGTTCGTGGTACACGCGAGAACAACTCACTTAGTGAAAATTTGTGTAATTTTCAAACATTCGAATCTTTATTGACACTCATTCTTACAACTGAATATTTATATAAAGATCATGTATGATTTCTCTGCATGATACATTATGACAATCAATGTTTTAATCGCAAAAGGTATGTACCTTGAGGTATAGAATCTGAAACCTCATATTTTCTTTACTTAATAATAGTTTGACTCAGTCATGTACTGCATGCACAAGTATTTAATTAATTAACAAATGTTTGGTGTTTAAATACTCGTGGGAATTCCTTTGGAAAACATAAGCTTCAAATATATCATGTTGCAAACCAAAATCCTGTATCATACCATAAATACTCTATGAAAGTATTAAGGTTTATATATAAGCTCAATTAAATAATCCTCTGTAATGCACCTATCAATGTTAAGCCCCATAGGGGGGGGGGGATCGTACAAGGTGGGGCATTTGATTTTTTGAGCAAATTTGAATCAAATGCCCCACCGTCAGGCAATAAATATTATGTTTGCGATGTTACTCTGAGTGCATATCCACACCGGGCGAGCTTGAAAAATATGCCCGGCCACGGTGGGATTCGAACCTACGACCTTTGGAATACTAGCCCAATGCTCTTCCAACTGAGCTACGCGGTCAGGACGGTTCGAGTAAGTGATATTTCGGAACAGTATCTAGTTCCTTCAATACCGATGTGTTCTAGTAATACGAATTTTTTCTGTGTTGGTGTTGTGTACTCAGGTGAATAATATGTTTGCGATGTTACTCTGAGTGCATATCCACACTGGGCGACCTTGAAAAATATGCCCGGCCACGGTGTGATTCGAACCTAAGACCTTTGGAATACTAGCCCAATGCTCTTCCAACTGAGCTACGCGGTCAGGACGGTTCTAGTAAGTGATATTTCGGAACAGTATCTAGTTCCTTCAACACCGATGTGTTCTAGTAATACGAATTTTTTCTGTGTTGGTGTTGTGTACTCAGGTGAATAATATGTTTGCGATGTTACTCTGAGTGCATATCCACACCGGGCGAGCTTGAAAAATATACCCGGCCACGGTAGGATTCGAACCTACGACCTTTGGAATACTAGCCCAATGCTCTTCCAACTGAGCTACGCGGTGAGGACGGTTCGAGTAAGTGATA